CCCCAAAACCCCAAAACCCCAAAACCCCAAAACCCCAAAACCCCAAAACCCCATCCCATATATATTTTGCTGAATATTAGTTAATTAAAATAATATATTAGAGAAGCTATCGCTTCGAAAGGTGGCAACTTCTTAGAGAAGAGATTTAGAAGTCACTCTTTTTCTTTTGGTCCCAGTACCATTTGTACACTTGGTCTCTGTTCAAGCTCAGTTCTTCAGAGAGCCTTTTAAAGTCATCTTTGAGCCAAGTTGGGTTCCTTTGGAGCTCCTTTTCGAGAGTTTTAATCTGAGTCTTAGTCTTTCTCTTTCTCTTAATATTTTTAGCTTTGTAGATTCTTTGCTTTTTAATGAGGTTGTCACAAGGACAGTTCTTGAGCATATCTTCAATAAAGTTATTCAAGTCAGTTTCTTTGTCAGAGATGATCTTGTCGAGGTTGACCAAGTCCTTGTTGTTAGAGGTGGTCAATGAGTCATTTTCATTACCAATTTTGTACAGGTGCTTGTCCTCAACCATCAAGAAGAGGTCCTCATATCCTTTCTTTAGGGATTTTTCAGAACTAGTATCGACTTCAAGAGTGCTGTTAGTTCCTTCTTGGCTGTGGTGTTCGTAACGGATCTTGGCTGGCTCTTCATTCTCGCATTTCATAGAAGTGATGTCCCACTTCTCAGTTTTGTAGCAGTCTTGGGCATACTCGTAGTCAGCAAGAGGTGTTTCAGGGATGGATGGCTTCATCTCATTCTGAACAATTGGCTTTGATTCGAAGCAGAAATACATTTCGTTTTGGGCAAGATTTGGGAATTGGTTGCTCTCAAAGTCGTATTCATTTGAGAACCAGTTGTTTCCATTCTCGTTTCTGAAGTTGTTGAAATAAGTGAGTTGGGTGGTCATTATTTATTTGTGTTTAAACTTTTGATTTCTAAAATTAGTCTTTTTAATAAGCTTATATACCATATAGTTTTTCATGTAAACCGTGGATCATATTATGAAAAATTCCCTATTAATTTTCTAATGTTAAACAAGGATAGGGAGTTTGATATTTTACATGAAAAGTCACTTTATATTAAGAATGAACGGGACTCTACCCGAAATTAGAATATGGGGTTTTGGGGTTTTGGGGTTTTGGGGTTTTGGGGTTTTGGGGGTTTTGGGGTTTTGGGG